TGATGTAATCCGTTTTGTCTTAGGGAAAGGGGACGTTTTAGAAGGGACAAAGTGCTGAGCTTTCTTACAGCGCAACGTCTTATGAAAACCCTGTACCAGATGGAAAGGGAGATGTTTTCTTATTGCCGTGTGTGACACACGGAGCTCACAGGGGTACTGCCTTCAGAAACCAGACACCTTCCCCACAGCCTACCAGGGAACGAGCCCCCGGCCACTGACCTGACGGAGAAGCTGCGCCTGTCCGACTGGCTGAAGCTACTGGTTATCGTCAACGAAGAGGAGCCGGAATCCGAGCGGTCTGAATCCGTGTCGTGGCCCTCGGAGCTCTCGGAGCTCTCGGAACGGGAGTCTTCCTCCTCCGAGCTCCAGCGCCCCCAGGTGTCCCGGGATTCGGGGGCCGCAGGCGGCGGCGGACGGAGGCTCTCCCCGGTCTGGTCCGGGGGCCGTGGCAGTCCGGGGGAGCACGTCCGCGGGAAGGGGGTTTTCCCGGGATGGGGCTCCCGGAGGAGGCCGGAGGGGACCAGGTCCGGGAGGTGACCCGCTGGCCTGGAAGGCGGAGCGAGGCCGGCGCGGGCGAGCGGACTGGGAGGCAGCCCGTTGCTGGAGTTGTTGTTGAAATTGCCTGCGATGGGGCCCAGGGGGAGGGGCCCCTCCACAACAAGGGGCGACCCGGGTTCGGAGGTGTCCTCCTGGGGGGCAGCAGCCGTCCTGCTGTCGGGGACGGTGGGTTTCGGGGCCGGAGAGTCGCACTCGTCCTCGGTGCCAGTTCTGGGACGGCTACCCCTGGGATCGGACCCCGCGGGTGGGCCCCCCACCCAGGGGTCTCCTCCTCCGGCTTTTTCCTCCCCGTCCGGATCTGCCGGAGGGTTTCCGAGTCGGGGCGCGCTGTCGAGCGACGCCGATCGGACCCACGCCGCCGCCCGCTCCTCGTCCCCCCTCCTCCAGGCGGGCCGTCCCCTCCGCTGGGGGTCCGCGCCGGGGGCCGTCTCCGAGAAGACCCGGGCGGCCCGCTGGAAGGAGGAGGACGGGCC